CTAACATCCAACACCACTGGTTAGTTTTACCTATTTTAAAACTTTATATAAATGGAATCAAACAGCCTTCGTGCTGTCTGGCCTTTTTGCTCAATGTTATGTTTGTGAGTCATCTATTTTTTTCCATGCACATGATTGCAGTTCATTCATTCACATTGCTGTATAGTATTCTTAGGTATTAATATGCCACACTGCCTCTTTTTTTTTTTTTTTAGATTTTATTTATTTATTCATGAGAGACACACAGAGAGAAGCAGAGACATAGGCAGAGGGAAAAGCAGGCTCCATGCAGGGAGCCCGATGTGGGACTCAATTCCTGGACCCTGGATCATGCCCTGAACCAAAGACAGAGGCTTAACCACTGAGCCACCCCCACCCAGGTGTCCCGATTTTTTTTTTTAAGATTTTATTTATTTGAGAGAGAGAAAAAGAGAGCATGAGTAGGGGGTGGGGTGAGGAAAGAAGTCTGCTCCCTGAGCAGGGAGCCTGATGCAGGGCTGATCCCAGAACCCTGGGATCATGACCTGAGCTAAAGGCAGATGCTTAACAGACTGAGCCACCCAGGCTCCGCCCACCCCTACAGGTTTTTAATGTCTTGTGATTCTCAGTGACAAAAGGTCAGGCTTTCCAAAAACCCTCTGTAAAAAGTAAGGTTATCTTTCATTACTGATTAATTTTTTTAAAGATTTTATTCATCCACTCGTGACAGAGAGAGAGTGAGGGAGAAACATAGAGGGAGAAGAAGGCTCCATACAAGGAGCCTGACGTGGGACTCCATCTGGGGACTTGGGATCACACCCTGAGCCCAAGGCAGACCTCAACCAACTGAGCCACCCAGGTGTCCCCTGTTTATTTTTTTTAAACAAGGGTGGTGAAGATTTCTCCATAGTTAAAGCCTCACCACTCAGCTTATGTCATCTTTTCACCTCCAATAGGAGTCCTAGAGAAATAATCATCTAAAAAGTTATTTGGAACAAACATATGGGTGAATTCTAGGGACATCCCATTGAATCTTCTCTTAGAAACAATTACATTTTGAATAAAATGTTGAGATTCATGTTAGTAAATTATTTTTTTTGAGAGAGGTGGATAAAAGAGCACGATAACCGAAAAGTTTTACATGAAATGTCTCTCACACAGAAGGGCTGGGCAGACCCTTGCAGTTGGCAAATGCTTTTCATTTTTTTCCCAAAATTGGGAGACACAAATGTGACTTAAATAGCTAAAACAATTTTCCTCTCTTCTATTGCAGCTATGAGACGAGGGGGAGAAAATGACATACATAAATGCAGTAAATTAGTCATTTCCCTTGCCATGAATTTCTCCATAAAGCTCTCAGTTGCCATAAATGAAAGAACTTATATTACTGAAAATGCCTGAGAACTCTATTTGGCCCTAAAATATCACTGAAATTGTAATGGCTACCCCAGATCTTTTATTATCTTATTTTATTTTATTTTATTTTATTTTATTTTATTTTATTTTACTTCATTCTGTTCTATTCTATTTTTTACTAACTTTTCACTACAGGGCCTAACATTTTCAATTATGCTAGAGGGCTTCACTGAGAATGCTGAAAACAATGAGGAATATTTGAAGATGAGGCTGGACCCAGAGGCTCAGATGACACAGGACTATAAGTTAGACAAGTTCAGATGTTCAGTTAGGACTGTGGACCAACTTCAACATTCAAAAAAAAGAAAGAAAAAAAATATTTTCAAAATACATTTTCAACTTCTTCAAGTGAGTTTATTAGGCAAAAATACCTTTTCCCCTCATTTTTTAAATTAGTGTGGTCTTTCGAGCGTAAATTCAGTCCTCTGAAAGCTTGCCACAGGAAGAGCCTAAGCCACTTTTTAATTTTCTTTATTTAATTAAAAATAATATCCAAGATGTGATCACTGAGGGAAACTGGGTAAAAAGTACATCAGGCCTTGTGCATTTTTCTGCAACTTCCTGTGAATCTATAATTATTTCAAAAATGAAGATCGAACAAATAATAATAGTATTAAAATAGTGAATAACCCTGTTGACTGAGAGTTTGATTGGTGTAACCCTGCCTTCAGGCATCATCTGAGTGCTCACAGGACATTTTGAAGCCATCGTGCTGGAAACCCTTTCTTTCCACAAGTTTGTTATCATTCCAGTGGGTAATATAGAAATATAGTCTCCAAAAAAATGACTCCAAATTACAGACATTTGCAGCCATTCAAAACTTAGAGTTCGTAAAATGTCTGCTTTCCTCCTATTTGAAAACTTCTCTGTGGGGAAAAGATCCTTTTGGAAGCTTTTCTCCCCAAAAGTGATTACACTGAAAGCCCTGGTCTTGTTCTACATTCTGTGTGCATTGTTGGTTCCATTTACAGCTGGGAATAGATATTTTTTTCTTTCATAACTATGTTTATAGCACAAGTATGGAGTTTTGTTAACAAATGTTCACTTAGGCGGTCTGAGTTTGCAACTGATAGGGAAAAAATTCTAAATATTGAAAATTTGCTAAAAATTGTGAAAAAACAGTGCCATTTTTTTTTGGGGGGGGAGCCATTGGCAGGGGACAGCCAGGAGATTCCCCTTAGAATCCCTCATTCATTTAGCCCCACAGTGTAAGATTCTCAAGTGCCATCCACATGATAGCTGCTGGACCTGCTGCCAGGAGTAGCATTTAGGTTAAGAGACCATGTTCCAGTTCTGGCCCATTTCCTTCAAGACAGAAATCAGATGGCCTTTTGTCAGTCTCTCAAGTACAGATCCAGATTAGCAAAATTCGCAGAGACAGCTATAGCGACAAGGGTACCAGTTTATAAAACTAACTTGGGACTGATGCCTCACACCCTCACCAGGACCAGAAGATGCAAACCTCCATCCAAAACCACCACCTCGGTATGCAAGTACAAGGAAGTGGTTAAAAGTAAGGCACCTGATAGCCCAGCTGTCTGGGTGCAAAGCCCAGGTCTCATTGCCTATGTGACATTGGGTAAATGAATTACCCTCTGTGACCCTGTCCTATCATCTGCAATACCCAGATAATAATAGTAACCTGTATCATTGGTTGTTGGGAAAATTAAATGGGATAATACGCACAAGGGCTCACTCATAAGAATGTTCTCTATTATTGTTCTCCAAGTGTTGAGAAAGTGTTCTCTATTAAGTCAGATTAGTCTCCAAAAGGCTGCTTGGAGGGTCCAGAATCAGAACAGAGGGCCATTAGGCAATAGTTCCCATTCACTCAGGAGATGTCAGTGAGACATACCTCACCCCCAAAGTAATGGGCACTTTCTAGTCACCAGGCTGCTCATGCTCTTCACATTCTGTGTTGATCTACCCTGGGCCAGGCCGGAGAAGTTTGACACATCCTGCTTTTCCAAATCCCTCTTTCTATGTGAACAACCTCTTGTCTGTTGGCCCATTTTCTCTGTTTCAGGTGCAGTAAGATTGTTCTTCTCACAGTCCTGGCAGACATTATATCTCCACCCCACCCCCATGCAGCGCAGTGTTGATTCAATTAGAACCACTCTCCAAACTCTGGCTGGGGCGCCCAAGGTCAGAGCCCATGTGCAGAAATCACATTACCTTCCCTATGAATCACAGTCCATCATTTCATATTGGTGTCAGCAAGATTTAAATCTTTCAATAACAACTACCCATGCATGTTACAGTTATATAGTTCCTGCTTTTTATTTTTAAGCATAATTAGTTTAGGGCACATGTAACTTTATTTTAGGTTCCATTACTTTATTTGCCTCTCACAATGGAAACTCTATGTGTTTGTGTATTTTTTAACATGACAGAAACATGCTGAGGTAGCCCATGTTCACTCCTTTGATCTCAGTCTTCTTGCTTAGTTCCAAGTCAACAACTTCCCTTCTGAACACGATGTTTTCAGATGACTGGCTTTGGAAACCTCCTGGTCTGGGCATGCAACTACTGACTTGACATTTCCTCTCAGATTGCCAAAAGCACCTTACATTCAATATACCTAAGACTAAACTCATTAATCTTACCTCCCAAACTGGATCTTCTTCTGGCATCCCTCATTTGAACAATAGCATCTCCATCTATACATCTGGACAAGCCTAGAACCCAGAACCCATTCTTGATACCTCCCTTCCTTGCCTTCCAAATGCAATTCATCTCAAGTTTTCAGCTCCTGAATATCCTCCAAATCCATTTACTTCTCTCCATTTCAAATGCCTCAACCTGTGTCAAGCCACCACTGTTTCTGAGCTGGACTATAATCATAGCCTCACGACTGGTTTCTCTGTGTTCTTTCCTGATTCTCTTATTGATGAAGGAAGCACATTCTGTTTTTCAGATTGTCTAGCTGTAATCTCCAACTGTGGTGCGCATCAAATCCCCAAGCCTCCTTGCTAAAATGAGCGTCCACCTCTGAAGATTTTAATTCATTAGGTTTTGAGGATCTGTATATGTGACAGGTACCTAAAGTGATTCTGATGCAGCTAGCCTGTCTGTGAATTAACGTTTGGGGATCATTGGCTACAGCTCACCAGCACCATACCTGGCCCATTTTAGACATGACCAAATATGTCTCTAGCATGAATCAAGGGATGAGTACCCATCTGAAAAAATATCTCTTGAGCCCCTACTATGTGCCAGGTTGTTCAAGCCCTAGGGATACAGTAGTGAATAACATGGACAAAAATCTCTATCTTCATGGAGCTTATGTAGGAGGAGACAAACAACAACAACAAAAAACAAATAAAATATATGAAATGTTAGATAGCAATAAGTGCCATGGAGGAAAAATAAAGCAAACTGAAGGATGAGGGGAAGAGACCTGTGGAAAGGGGGTAGGTTGCCACTCAGAACAGGCTAGTCAGGGAAGGCTTCCTGGGGAAGGAGGCAATGGAGTAAAGGCTTGAAGGAGAACAGGCAGGGAAGCTACTGGAGGAAGGGCTTTCCTAGATGAACTCTGGAAAGAGCAAGCAAAGTTTGCTCTTCTAGCATCCTTCATAGGAAAAATATTCTCCACAGATTCCATGTTCAGGCTCCTAGTCCTCAACTCCAAACTGGGAAGATATTCCTAATAAAATGTGGTGTATTTCTCAGCTCAATGCCATTGCTCAAATATCCCCTCTGCCTGAAAACCGGCTTCAGACCCCTCAGCTTTGAAGCTTTCCTAACTCAGCTCTCTTACATTCCACTATATCTGGACATCCTTCCATCACAGTACCTGAAGTACAGAATTGCTTTGTCCAGTTTACATGCTTGTCTTTATGTCTGATAAAGATCAGACATCAGCCTGTTGCTCTTTATCTATTATGGTATGTTTAGTGCCTAGCACAGAATCAGGCCAGAATAGATTTTTTTTTTTTTTTGAGAGAGAGAGAGAGAGAGAGAGAAACCATGCACACAAGTTGGGTAGGGGGAGAAGGGGGAAAGAGGGAGAGAGAATCTTAAGTAGTCTCTAAGCTCAGTGTGGAGATGGGGGTGAGGGAGAGCTCGATCCCACAACTGTGAGATTATGACCTGAGCCTAAATCAAGAGCCAGATGCTCAACCAACTGAGCCGCCCAGGCACCCTACAGTAGGCTCTCCATAAGTATTAAGTGCAGAAAAGAAAGAGGGAGGGAGATGGTAGGAAATCCGAACACCTAACTTGATGTTAAATGCCAGAATAGGCATTACATAGTGGTAGACAGGCAAACCAGGACACCTGCCAACCAGTCCTGTGGAAAGTAATGCCCCCATTTTCTACCATCCCTCAGCAGTCTCTCTGGAATTGCCTTCAGGTGCAGATGAGCGATCATAAGATACGATAATAAGAAGAGCTGTCACCTGTCAGATGTGTGCTCTGTACCAGGCGCTACACTAAGTCCTTTACATGCATTCCTGCATTACCTTGTTTAATCCTCACAACATTATGCCCTGTGCCATCAATAGAGTTATTATCCTTACTTCACACATAAGGTGTCCAGTGTCTTGCCCAAGCTTTCCCAGCTGGTGAGTGACGGAATGCGTATTCAGACTCAGGCAGTGCAACACCAGAGCCCATATGTTTAACTTCTGTCTGAGTCCACTGAGCAGTCACTTGAAGGGAACCGGAGTTCTGGACCAGGAACCTGGGGAGAGCAAGAAGAAGAAAGGGGGAACGATGGTTTGGGTCAGAAGAGAGGCCTATCTTTGGAAAGAGAGGGTAGTTCTATGGGGTTGACAGAGGGCAAGGGCTTCACAACCCCACAGGCCTCTCAGAAGCTGAGGAACTCTGTGATAAAGCTCTACCCACAACAGAGGAAATGAGGCTAAGAAGCCCCTGAGGGAATTTGGGGAGGGTAGCTGGACCTGATTGAGTAGGGTCTGGAAATCAGGAAGTTCTGAGGGAGATGTGTCTCTTGAGCTGGCCACAAATGGTCCTGAGGTCACTGGGGAAGGTCATCAAGGCTGCCCGCTGGCCAGGGCCACACCATTGCACAGGCCCAAGGGCATCTTTCTTACTGGGCTGTAAGAGGAGCTGTTTCTATTTCTAGTGGGTCAGCAGGACTCAAGGGAATTCCATGTGTTCAGTCCCTGTGTCCACAAGACTCCCTCACCCATTCCAAAGAGTTCCATTCTGCACAGCAGCCATCTGTCCCCACTCCATCCCACTCTCAACCTACATGCCCCCTACTCCCTAGAAAACCTTCCTTCCACTGGATTCTTCCACCACCTGAAGAACAAAATTTTACTATAGGGAGATTGGGACACAGAGCCCTGGTTGAGAAAAAACCCCAAAGAGGTGACATGGAGAGAGGTGAGGGGTCCAGCCTGAGCCCAGGCAGGGCCTCTGATTCTGGAAGCTCTGGCGAAACTTGACACCAAGGCCAGGTCCCGAGCCAGGGCGGGGGAGGGAGTAAACCATCTTCCCGGAGCAGGAAGTGAGGGAGAGAGTGAGAGTGAACTGGGGCAAGCGCTCTGTTTTCTTTGGCCTCTGCCAGCCCCAGGAGGGAGAAAGGCAAGGGAGGGAGGATGGGGCTGGTGGAAAGATCCAGCCTTTGTGTCCTACCTCCCCGCAGAGGTGGAGGCTAGAGGAAGGTGGGGGTTGGGATGGGAGACATGCAAGGGAGCTGAAGCCAAAGAACCCTGGCCAGTCAGGTGAGCATTTGGCGATAGGTGAGGGGTGGGATGACCAAAGCTTACTGTGTTGGAGGGATGGAACTAACCAGAAGGCCACAGTGAGTTCCCTACATTCTCTCCAGCCTTGATCTCCTCAGGTTCCCCCAAAAGGCCCCGACCTTGTGCACTGCTCTCTCCACCCAACAGAACCTGTGGGGGCAGAGGTTACCCTCAGAAAAGCTCTGGGCCTTCACAGGCCAAGGCACCCACCCCCTCAGGAAGCTCGACTTACAGAGCCTTGCTGTGTCTCCTAAGCACATATAGGCATTCTAGTCTTGATAAAAAAAGACTTCCTTAAGGACAACTCTGTCCACAACCCAAATTTTCCAGGGACTTCCATCCCCAATGTTGTCCTAACGCCAAACTCAATCCTAACACCTATCCCTCATAGGGATCCCAAACCAGCCTCAACCAAACACTGTTCAAAATCGCTACATTTGGGATCTCTGGGTGGTGCAGCGGTTTAGCGCCTGCCTTTGGCCCAGGGCGCGATCCTGGAGACCCGGGATCGAGTCCCACATCGGGCTCCCGGTGCATGGAGCCTGCTTCTCCCTCTGCCTGTGTCTCTGCCTCTCTCTCTCTCTGTGACTATCATAAATAAATAAAAATTAAAAAAAAAAATTAAAAAAAAATCGCTACATTTAATCCCACATATGTGTCCTTATCCCAAAGCTTACTGTAGCCCCAACTCCACATTCTCACTCTGATCTGTGTAAATCATAAGCCTGACCCACACAGAGGTCACCTCACACAGAGGTGTCTGGGGGGGAGGGGCAGTTAACAAACAGTAAGAGTTACATGCATTAAGCATTTACGCGGGGCTAGGCACTGTAACAGGCTTTTTCTATGTATTGCTGTATTTAATTCATAAGAACCCTATGAGTTAGCATTACTATTACTACCATTTTACAGATAAGAAAACTGAGGCTTAGAAAGATCAGTCTAGGCATCCAGTAAAGTGCCACCAGTCCTGAACATGATGGTAGACTCACTGCTATCATCAGCAAGATTTCACGGGGTAACTGTGGAGGCTCAACAGGAATGTCCTCTCTCTGCATGGAGACTGCCATGGTTGATGTAGAAGCCCAAACACACTCTATTAGACAAGATCCAAATGAGAGTCTCTGCTCCAATACTGAGTGAGAGTTGGCCCTGAGGTCACAGAGCCTGGAAAGTCACCGCAGAGTGACATAAGAATCATAGCAAGATTGAGAGGCTTCTTATCCAGGAGAACCCTACACCTGGTGAACTCCCAGCAGAATCACTGAGGACTCCACCACCACAGCCCCTACCCCACCACTTTAGGGGTGCACTTCCTGATTAGCCAACTAGAACTTGGGCTCAGCTAATACTCTGATACATCCCAGGGAATGTGCCAGGCAAAATGCCATTCTAAGTCACAAGGTCGAAGAACCTTGTAGAACAGTGAGGGGAGTCCTCAATCAGGACAGGGATAATAACCTTCTAAACAAAGTGGTTTATTCCTCACACACACACACACACACACACACACACACACACACATGCACTTCCAGATGGGCTTGCTCATACTCTCATATACAGTCCCATTCAAGACCTCTCCAGTTCTTTTCTCTACCCCAAACCCTTTGTGAGGCCAGTGAGGTCAATAGGAGGTCTACCTCCCCTCATCAGGGGACACTGACCTGCAGAGTTTCCAGGCCACCGCAGGTCTGGGCCAGTCCAGAGGAAAGGTACTAGCTCTCTGGAGTCCTCTATCCCTTCCTGAGTCAGGCCTTGTGTCAGGGTTTTTCTGGCCACAGTGTCTATCCAACCGTGAAGGACCACATCAAGAAATGCTTATTACGCCACACACACCCTCCTACAGTCTTGAAAAAACAACCCATCCAGGGAACTCAGGACACAAGGAAGCCTGATCGGAGGCTGGCTGGGAGACCCAGCCAATAGCCCAAGGTGCTCTGGTTTAGAAGCCAGAAGTCCTCTCATGGATCTTCCTGGCCTATAAATACAGACCATGTTGGCCACACAAGCTTTGCCCCTGGTGTTGCATGTTGACATTACCTGGAGCCTTTCTGAACCAGTCCAGGGACCCCTGTGATAGCCAGAAACCACCTTACCCAGTTCTATCTTGGTCTCCCTCCTCTCATGCCCCACATTTATCTCCCTCTCATAAGCAACATGAGTGTTGTTCCTCTTCTGCCACCACCCATTTGTCATTTGGGAGCCATAGCCTGGAATCAGTAGCAATAGTAAGTATACTAGGTCATGGAAGAGGAGGGGCAAGAGGCAGAGATGGAGTAGGACAGGGGAGGGAGACTGCCAGCGGAGGGAGGTGTGAGGCTCGGAATGGATTGCTCCCAGCTTTCTCTGCCTGGAACCCAAGAGCCAGGAATCCGTGACTGCAGAGAAGTGGGAGCCAATGCCCTCAGTTGAAACCCATCAGAGCAGCTCCTCTGGGCCTAGTGACATGGGGTCCTCCCCAGCCCTCCCCTAGAAACTGACAGCATCTGGGGCTGGGAACCCACCATCCACAGATCCCCTCCAGATTCCACAGATGCAGATAAAAGTCAGAATAGAAATAACCGGCTCTGAGAGGGGCGGATGCAGATGTGGCCATGAGAGCCCCAGATGTGGCTCAGCCATGGCTGCTGCCAGGGCTGCTGTGGCTGTGAACAGGAATGTGGACACAGATGGGGCTGGGGATGGGGGCAGGGGTGGGGTGGGAGAAGGAGACAGTGCACAATTCTGTGCATTCTAGGCTCCAGGACGGGGAGGAGGGGAGAGGTCTAGCGTCTGAGTTCATGAAAAGGCTCAGCCTGGTCCTGGGGAAACTAGATTCCTACAAATGAAACCTTCATCTACCCAAGATTTGTTACACACTCTGCCAACTCCTGCTGCCCTTCTTCCCCTGGGGCCTCCAGCCACAGAATCAGCTTCACTGGCACCCTTCTCCACTGGTGGCCCTGCAGTCCTCCTCAGGTACCTCCTGCCGTGCAGGGGAGGGCAGTAATGTGCCTCTGCCTCCAGGAAATGGAGGGAAATGCCAGTGTCAACTCCACAGGTCAGCCTTCGTCCTAAGCCCCGCTAATACCCAGCATTCCGGGCGCCATAAAGATGAAGGGGCCTGTGGCCCTCCTCAAGGTCCCCTGCTCATAAACACCCCCAATGATAAAGCTCTCTATACCGTAGCTCATGAGGCCCATTTACTTTCCACTTTGTTCTGAATTTTCATCGCAGGAGGTTTGCAAATCGCTAACAGCAGGAACTTTCCAGAAGTTGCAGAATATAATCAGTGCATTCTCAGCCTTGCCACTCTCAGAGTACACCAGGCAGCTCCTACCAGTGAGCAGAGGAGATGGGAGGCTGAAGGCAGCCAGCAGAGTCTAGGTGAGAAGAGGCCATGGAGGACCACTCTGACCAGCCTCCGCCTCTGGGTGAGTTTGGCCTGCCCCCAGCCAGCCCCAATCCCTGTCCTATTTGTGAAAATAAGCCCAGCCCACACTCAGCTATTCTGGGAAGGTTAGCTCTCACAACACAGAACTTCTCTTCTGGGCAGGAAGTTTGTCTTTAAATATACCCTGAACCCCTCTCATTGCAGAATCAACACTGCCTCTGGTCAGGCCTCAGGGGAGGGGAGACGGAGGAAGACAGCTGTCACTGTCCTCTCCCAAGGAGTCTGAGCCACAGCATCAGGATTGCCAAGTCCCCTAACTGTTGCACTTCTCTGGGTGGAAGTTGTATTACCGGGTTTCACAGGGTCATCCTGTCCCTTCGCTCATCTCTTGGGATGGCCTACTGCATTTCCCACAGGAAACTAAACCTCTTTTAGTAAAACTCACCTCTTTCTTCCAGTCTCCTCCAAAGGGCCAAACTAATACCTCCTGAAGTCCTACTACGTGCTTCACATGCTTTAGCACATCAAATTTCATCCTTACCTCACTACAAGTGGGGAAATATCACCATCCTCTTACAACATGACATAACAGCCTCAGAGAAGATAAATTCACCTGACATCACACAGTGAATAGACTCCAGGACTAGACCAGGACACACTCGGAGCTGAGTCTCCGACCTGTGCTTTCCCCTCCATGTCGTATTCCACCAGAGAGGATAGGAGGCCGGACTCTGAGTGGGCAGAGCAAAGTGGCAGAGGAAGCGCTCCAGCTGTGACTCACCTGGCTGCCTTCCTGACAGGCAAAGCAGCCGCCTTCACACCTGCACTCACAGTTTCCCACAGCCCGGATGCACGATTCCCAGCAGCCAAACAAGGCCACACAAGGCCACAGAGTAGCTGTTGCTTTTCCCTCTTCTGTCAGAGAGTGAGTAGCTTCTAGAGTTCAACCTGGAATTATAGATGGATAATGATTATCAATGTGAGGTGGGTTTAAGTCAAGGCAGGCTCCTGGGAAGAGAGAAGATCATGACCAGTTTTACAAAGAAATGATATTCTTTGTGCAGAGAGAAGGAAGAAAGCCCCAGAGCAGAGAAGAAATGCATCAAAGATTGGAGAAGTGGACTGACCACCGTGGGGAGGGGGGCACCCCAGGAATCACACATTGTGTGGGGTTCAGCAGCCATCTGCAGTTCTCCCATCCAGAGCTCAGAATCCCAGATCCCGGAGGGGGCTGCAGCAGCCCCTCCTCACACAGTCTACTCCACATTCCTCACATTCTTTACGCTCAATTAAGGAGAAATAATCAGGGGAGCAAAGCAAGGCCGCAGCAGGGCAGCCATGCCCCACGCTGGCGGCATCACGTGTGCGGAAACAACCCCTCCAAGTCCAGCCAGACAAGACCTAAGATGAAGGAGCTTTCAGAGGATGAGGGGAGCCAGCGGCCAAGACAAGGGTGTCTTCTCTGTGCTCCACAGAGACAAAAGAGCATGAAGGAAGTGGGCAAGGGGGGTTGGGATCAGGAAAGGAAAGATGAGAAGGCCAGGTCAGAACAGAGGGAAGATGTGCAGCCAGAAGACCTCAGTCATCCGTTTCTAAATCAAGTTATCACTCTACCCAAATCGTAGCATTCTGTCACCATTACCATCTGCCATCGTCATCAAATGCCCTTTGAGACCCTCCTGGATGCTTAGGCTGTTCTCACCTTCATGAGTTTAGTGGCATGATTGAGTCATGGGAATATTACCTCTCTGTGGCAGTCAAAATATACCAGCATGGTCTGCAAGGGGATGCCGTTCTTCACCCCGGGACACATGCTTGTTTTTTCTTCCCCTTGACCCCAACAGGTCAGCCAAGCAAACTCCTACTCCCCGTAGCCTCTATCCAAGAGCTGCCTCTACCCTACTCCTAAACCCCAGCCCCCCAAAAGCCTTCCCAGACATCCTCAGCAGACCCAGAGTCTCCTCTGGGCTCCTCCTTCACCTGGTACATGTAACCAGGACAGATCTTACACTGTTTTAAAATTTTAGGTATATATGTTTATGTTCCCACCAGAATGAGTAACAACTAAACAAACCATCATTATTTATTAAGCATGTTCTATGTGCCAGGCACTGTGTTAGTACTTGATACATGACCCCCTTTAATCCTTTTAACATCCCTAGAGGTCTTTATCATCATGATGCCCAATTTACCTATGAGGAAGTCAAGTTTTAGAAAGGTTAAGTAACTTGTCCAAAGCGACCCAGCTACTAAATCAAGGAGGGGGAACTTGAACACAGGATCATAAAATCTCAAAACCCATGCTGCTGATCTAACACAGAGATGTTTGAGGACAGGGCCCATATTTGGCCTTGCTTACCACTATACTGCTACAAGATAAACAGATGGACAAGGTGGGCTTTGCAGTTTCAGCAAGTGGAACTGAGCCAGAACTCTCTCTTCCCTCCTCTCTCATCAATGAATCAAATTTGTGAGACAATTTGTTAGACCAAGGACCCATTCCACACTCTTTCTTGGGTCTACTATCAGGACACATTCTGTGGCCACTTTGGGGTCTCAGTCCATGGTCAGAGATATGGGCCACTTTATTATCAGGGTGGGACTCAGTCTGGGGCTAGCATAGAGGATCAGTCTTTGGCCAGTATATGTTGGAGGGAGGTGTGTGTCAGAGGAAGGGAACCTGTCTCTGCCAAGCTGACTTGCAGCTGAAGAGATAGTGGATGGCTCTGGAGCTAGAGCGCCTTGTTGCTCTGCATTCAGAAGTGGAGAGAGAATATGTGTGAGAGGAACTGGGTGTGTGGGATAGTGCAGGCTGGAGTGCCCTGGGAAAAGAGGTGAGCAGATGTGTCCCTTTAGCGAGCGCCATGTACACTTTGTGAGTCCTCTACATGTGTGAGTGTGTAGTGTGGTACATGTGTGTGCTGTGTGGGGGGGAGTGACAGGGGCTGGGTAGGGTGTGGGAGAGACAAGCACACACACCTGTAATAACATTGGCTTCAGACGCTAGGAAAGAAGAAATCCCCCCAACTGTTTTATCAGAGCTGAAGTTACTAAATTACGTTGTTGTTTTAAATTTGAGCTTCTCTGCCTGCAAACGGGGGGGATCTCAGGTTCACGAGCTTAATGCTTGGCTGGGCCTGGAGCTCCGCTTCCCCACCCAACCCAGACTCCCAGAGCTCCCAGGCCTGAGGAACAAAAGTCTTCTCTCCCAGGGCTTTGAAGTGGAAACACTAACTGCTCCCTTTAATTAGAAAGAAACCCCCTATTGTTCCTGCTTTATTACTGATGGATGAAGACATTGTTGGGTGGGGGGGTCTGAAGAGCAGGGGTGGGGTGGGGGAGGAGTGGTGGGGGACACAAAATCTCTATTTAGAATAGACAATCTCCACACTCAGTCTCCATGCACCAAAGCAGATCTCTTTGTCCACACAATCAACCAAGATTTTACAGGGCCTCCAGCCTTTGATTAGCTGTTAGGGAAACATGCAAGACAGGGTCTCAGCCTTTCAAGAGTTTATAATCTAGGTAAGGGAAGCAGGCAGGGGGGATAAGAAATAAAAGATAATCAGTACTGCCAAGTATAAGCAAGAAGAATTTAGGACACATGGAAAGAGGAGATAGTCCCAGGAGACAACCTCCTAAGAAACTTCTCTCGGGGGTGGTGGCTAGGGACTTGAGCTGGATGCTATAGAACAGAGAGAACTGATAGCGAGAAGAAGCTTGAAGGGAAGGGATTCCCGCTCCAAGCAGGGCAAGTGGGCCCATGCAAAAGCACAGAAGCGGGAACCAGGACTTCTTTGGAGGACAATATGGAAATCAGTCTGTTTGGAAAAGGGGGTGCATGTGGGGCAGTATGGGAAATCAGGTGCCTAGTGCAGATGTAACAGAGTGGGAGACTTTAAAAGCACATAGAGGAGCATGGCCTTGAAGAGATAATTAGGGAGCCATTGAGCTTTCTTGAGCAGGGGAGTGGCCTGATAAAAAGTGGCCCTTGGGGAGATGAATCTGGCAGCCCTGTGCAAGAAGACTTGGAGGGAAGGAGTGCAAAGGAGGGAAGCCAGCTGGGGAGCTCCCGAGGAAACCCAATAATAATGGCTTAGACGAAGGTGATGGCAGTGGGATCAGGAAAGAAAAGGTGAGTCTGGGATAGGTTTCAAAGGAAGAAAAAGATGTGTTGACAGAATAGATATAAGAGGATAAAGGAGTGGGATGAGTCAAAGACACCTCTAAGATCTCCAGTCTGGGAGACTAGGAGGGTGGTAGAGGGGGAAGAGGGTAGAAGTCCTCTAGGGGAAATGTGGAACCAGAGGAGTTAATAAACAAAACCCCCAAAAGCTTCATGCCCCCTTCCAGAGCCCAGAGGTGTCCTGAACCTGAAAGCAACTCCAGGGCCAGACAGCCCTGCTCCCTGACAATGGGAATACCGTTAATGAAAACAACAACTTTTGTACAATCCTTTTTTGTGCACTTCAAAGTGATTCACATTTGCACCTCATTTGATCCTCAAAACAACCACAGCAGGGATCATTCTCCCCATTTTGCAGATGAAAAAACTGAGGCACAGAAAGACTAAACAACTTGCTCTAAGTCACACAACTAGTTAAGGGCAGAGCTGGAAGCCGAAGCCTGCTGGCTTTGGGCTCAGAACCCCTCCCAATGCCTGTTGGCAGCCCAGGAGAGGGGTGGGGCCTGGAGCTGCATGTGCCCTGAGTCACTGGGGGCAAGGAATCTGGGCCTCAGAGACGGGGTCCACCCTGGACTTCAACAGCACCTCCAGCCTACTCCTCACACTCACATAGGGCGTAAGTCGGGAGCCCAGGGTTGGAAACGCCAAGTCTAATCAGACCTCACAAGCCCACAGATGGTTTGAATCAATGTGCTACCTTGATAGGAATAATGAGGAGTCCTGAAGACAGTCTTATGCCAACTCTATCCGTCTGGACAGAGAACCATATCTTTCACAAGAATTTCCCCATCCAAGGTCCCATCACCCTCCACGCTGGGCAAATCCTTCATGAGGATGTCCCCTGGTCCCACATCACACCTGCTCCACAGCCCCCACCAGCAGAACCACCCACGGATTTTCAAAAACTTTGACCTCAGGTTTTGATTTGACAAACTCTGACTTCTTAGGCTTTTCTTGAGGCTGAAGATGGTTCCTAGGGAGAAACAGGTGAACATAGGTTACAAAGCCTGGCAGGGGTTATGAGGCTGTATGGTAGGGTGGATGGACCTGGATGCAGAGAAATACAGAACCAGACAGATGTCCCACCTACTTCCTGGCAGAATGAATATTCTCAATGTGCATTGTTTCATTCATTCTACATGACAAATGTCATCATGATATTTACTTTGATGGGATACCTGACCTAAGGCACCCAAATCTCATGGAGTTAATCCATGTATAAGGTCACAGGCTCCCAGCAACAGAACCAGACCTACAATCTAGAAAAACCTCTCCTCTTACTGTGGGAGCCCATCGGAGCCAGGACCCCAGAATGGCAGCAGTGGCCATTCCCCAGGGAAAGCTCAGGCTTAGGCTCTCAACTCCCCAAGGGTGGTCCTGTGGGTAGGGACCTGCTTTAATATAATTTGGTCCTGCCCCACCCCTTGCCTAGCAAAGCTTAATTTGAAGCTTAAAAAACAATGAAGTTAATTTTTAAAAACCTTTCATTGAGTTCCATGAGACCCCTATTAATTTTATTGTTTCAATAAAGCATTTATTTAATTGTCTCCAGAAGGGCCCTGTTAAATGCACAGATGTTACCTGAGTCAGAAGGGAGGGAGCTGGGAGCCTTTTTCCCACCCTTTCCCGTTAGCACATTAGCAGGATTCTGTTATTGGATTAACTGATTGTCACCTTAAAAGTCACAAAGTAGAGTCTTGAGGGAATAAGACACAAGACAGGTAAATTCTGGGGAGCAGTCTTGGTCACAGTTGCAGAAAGC